TTCAAAGCACTTTCAACCTAGAAAAGACATTTCATTCCCACTTCTGTGAATTTTAGAAGATAAATTGAGCATATATTATGCATATGCATGAGACAGAGACTCTGAAGCCCAGGACTATGGCTGCTTTCCAGCTGGTACAAAATTCAAGTCTTCTGTTGTTAAATCTTTTTGTTTTTCCAATGTACCTATGCTACATCGAAACAGAAGAATCAGTGCATGTTTGCTGTATTAATATGTAGAATTTTCTCACCAATAAGCCAAACACATTCCCCTGAAATATATGTACTTATGGAAGAAGGGCCATTTCTTTCCTCATTAAATTGTTTTTTCTTTAGCTACTTTTCTGTTAACATTAGAACTGTCTTTACGTGCAAAGTCCAACTTGTTTACCAAACTGTCAGATAATTTTTTGCTAATAGTAAACGTTCTACAGATTTAATACACAATTTTACGTAGTTCTTACCATTATTCTTACAAATAACATTTCAAAAGTTTATTTTGTAAAGTTGTTCTTTTGGGTTTTTTGCTTTGTTTTGTTTTGATTTTTGCAGTTTTGTTGTGGCAGCACTGGGGATGGAACCCAGGGATGATTTACCACAGAGTTACATTTCCCCACCTCCTTTTTATTTTTTGAGACAAGGTCTTGACAAGTTGCCCAGGCAGGAATTGAACTTGGAATCCTCTTACCTCAGCCTCCCAAAGGATTACGGGCACTTGCCTGCATCACTGCATCTGTCTTCATTTTATGTACTTTTACTTGTTAATTGTAAAACTAATATAAAACAAAATACTCAGCTTTTCTACTACTGAAGAACTTTAATTGGGACAGTCATTAGTGTTTTTTGTTTTTAAGAGACGTGAGAAGGATTTATTAGAGGTAGATATAGGATACTCTCAAGAGTGGAATGTGGATGCTCAGAGAAATGAGGTACGATACAGTTAGGACAGAGGATCTTTGTATTTTGGGTGGTAGTGATATAATCCAGATAATATAAGGGAAATATTATAGCTCCTGACAGGCTAGACCCCAAGTAGCAACCGAGACCACTAGGACATTGAAGCAGACAGTGACATCTTTATTTTCAACTGGTGTATGTGGTCGGGTCAAGGGCAAGAAGGCTGTTGACCATGAACAAAGGAAGAGAGCCTGCTTTATAGACTAGTCTAGGCATGGGAGAGGGGAGTTTTTCAGGGGTTACTGGTGGGTCTGGTGCCTCTAGGGGAGGGAAGTGCTGGCTGACATTGGCGTGTGCTGATTTACAGCGTGGCATTCTGTAGACTCATGAGGTTTCCTGGAAGCCTGAGAACCAGGCCTGGGAGCCATCCTGATAAACAGATTTACTTTAGTCTCTCGAGCTGAGTGAGGGGCTTTCTGTTTGAACAGACTGGTGGTCTGTCAGAGTTTTTCTCTTCAAGTTGGGCAGGGTACAATGTGAGGGACAGTGGAAGTTAAGAACAGAAAATATCCAGGGAAAGAAAGCTATTTTATTGTCTAAGAGAGACAAAAGGGGTGCAGAGTTCCCAAGGACCCCCCGCTTCTCTAGGGAGTTTTATAGAGTAAAACCAGAAGGTGAAGCCAGTCTAAGGTGGGACAGAGCTAGAGTCACCTAATAAGATTACAAGTACAGTCACTAGGTAACATTGATTCGATGGGAAATTACAAGGTGGGTATGAGGTAAGACAAAACTGTGGTCAATCAATAAAATTAGAATTGCTTAGAAATAGTGACTAAATAAGCAAATGTACATAGACCCAAGGACTTTTCCTCAAAGGGAAGTTCTGGTCTTTCACCTGTTTAGAATACCAGTCATTGCTGTTCATCCCCAAGGGAAATATGTAGGTGTAGTCATTCTGTATTGAGGTCTGGCCTTTAGCAAATGTGCTTCTACTCACTGTTGTAATTCATCTATATTGGCTTCTTTTTGAGGGCCTAGCATGTCTGACTGCCTATAATATTTATACCTAGCTTAGTGTCTAATAGAGTGAGTCTGTGCAATTCAATAATATAGTCTTAGTCTTGTCTTGTGGGTAGGAGGATGGCCACCTATAGTGAGATAATAGTCTATACATATGAGAAATCCCAAAAGGGTGGTCCGTTTGTGGGTGAAAAAAGACTATTTGCAAGTAAAAAGAAAAAGGGCAAACCTGTTTGTAGCTGAATGGAAATTACCCAGGTTTGCTATTTTGGGAGGAAAAAAAGAAACAAAACAAAACAAAACAAAACAAAACTTGGGCTTGTGTTCTGAAGCTGTAGTTTTTCTTCAAAGTACAGTTTTTAAAATCTTTATTTTCTTATCTCCTTTCTACCTAGTTTTCAGTTCTTCTACCTACCTCATCCTACCTGAAGACTTTCAGTCCCTTATTAATAAAAGGACACAGAAGGTCCAACGGCTTTTCTTCATGTAACTGCTTCAGTCTGAGAAGGGGCATTAACCCTGCCTACCTATGACTTTTTTTTTTCTTTTTTTTTACCTATGACTTAAAAGTCTAGTCCTGACTAAGGAGGTGTAGCAATATTGGGTTCCATCTTTGGAAGAACTATCATTTTTCAGTAGTCAAACCAGAGTCAAGATCTCCACAGTCTCCATCTCTCTTTTTAGTTAGGTCCCTTCATGGTCACCAAGATAAATGTCACCAGCCTGGGTCTGAGAGTCCCCAAGGCTGAAATACGTAACTTAACCCACCCCTTTTAAAATGAGTTTGTAAGCCGAGTGTGATGGTGCACGTCTGTAATCACTGGGAGGTTGAGGCAAGAGGATCAGGCTACGAAGTGAGTTCAAGTCCGGCCTGAACTGCATAGCAAGACCCTGTCTTTAAAAGACCAAAAAAGGGGCTGGGGATTTAGCTCAGCGGCACAGCACCTGCCTGAAAAGCGCAGCGTCATGAGTTCGATTCCCAGTACTTAATAAAAAAAAAAAAAAAAAAAAAAAAAAAAAAAAAGAGTTTGTGAATACACTGACTTGTGATGTGGAAAAAATTTTTTCAGGATGCATCAGTAAAAGACATGAGAAGCATTTATTAGAGGTAGATCTAGGACATACTCAGAGCAGAGTGCGGGTACTCAGAAAACAAGGTACACCACTAATTTGCTGAAGGAGTTGCTGTTTGAAAGGCAAGCTTGCTATATTAAAGCACCTTTTTACTTCAGTACCATTATTTGCTAATTTTATTAGAATTATGTGATGACATGGATAAGTTGGGGAAATTTAGCTGGATTTGGAAAAATGAGAAAATTAAGGAAAAAAGATAGTAATCTTTGCAATCATTCATGGAATCAAACTTTTTAAATACATAAGTTTTACCATAGAGTCAGCTCTACTATGGTTTATTATTTTGAAAAATTAGCCCTAGGGGTAGAATTATCCAAATAAGGTTACTCAGTGGGTAATTGAAAATTACCCAACTCTGGATAAAACTTCTGTGTGTAAAGACTTACGCACTAACCATTCACTGTATTCCTCCAGTAATATCTAAAACTGTTGAAGTAGGTTTTTTCCTAGACGTACATACCTATGGTAGTTCAATTTGTAAATTGGTCTTAGTAAGAAATTAACAATAACTAATAAAAAATAATTATAGCAATACACTAAAATAAAATTTATATAACTGTGGTCTCTTTCTCGGAGAAACTCAAGATAAATATTAACATTGTCAGACTGAAGTTGATTGCAAGTCACTCAAACCATGGAAAGTGAAACTATCAATATTAAGATTTCACTGATTCAGGATATTTGTATTTCATTTAGATCTGTGAAAGGTTATGTGCATTTCAGTAATTTCTTAAGTTGTCACTAATTTTGTTTTACTACAATTTATTACATCTGTCACTGAGACCATATAGGTGATTAGAATTTATAATTTTAGTAAACTTTTCTGAACATATCCCTCCATCTTTGTGTTAATAGATGTTCCGCACCATTTGGATAATGTATTGGTATAGCTACTTCACCTCTTAATCCATGTAATCACTTAAGTGAGATGGAAATGAATTTTTCCTTTAGTCTTTTAATAGTAGTAGTTTATTCTCATGCTTTGTCTATTTTCCACACATGGCAAAAGTTTTATTTTCAAAGAACTTACCACTTTATAAAGATTCTAGACTATCCCAATGAGTTACTAGTTAGTATTCCATAGAATAGTGATGAATTTTCTTCTGAAATTAAGCACAGTGCTTATATTTCATGCCTATCTGATATATCATTGCTAATTTTATGTTTTGTTCATGCACACTTTTTTTTTTTGGTACAAGGAGTTGAACTCAGGACCTTGTGCTTGCCAGGCACACTCTGTGCCGCTGAGCTGTATCCCCGTCCCACAGTAACTCTTTAGTTATTGTGCCAAAACAATATAAGCCCTTAACCCTTTATGTTCATTCCAACGTTCGTATTCAACATTCAAAATAGTAATTGATGTATTTTTTTAAATCATTAAATACTTCATTTAAGTATAGTATACTGTCAAGTTAGGGCAGTGGTATGATTTCTTAATTGTATAAATGAAAAAAGTTTGAGAAAATATTTCAGTAATGTAACATATCATTCTTAAATATCCAGAAGAATCTTCTCCCTTTACTGGATGACAGAAGCATACAAATTAAATGATCTTCTTTGCGCAAATTATTTCCCTTCCAAAGTAATTGCTGTATTGATGGATATATTAACATATAAAGGTGAACAAAAGATCCACTAACCAGTTGGAACACTTGGGCTTTGTTTTAGCCAATAACTTCCTTTACTTGAAAGAAAAAGTTGTTATCATCAGCGTGAATCTTTTCATTGCCACGTTAAGTGCTCACATTAAGTGACCCTGCTGGCACACTATTCCTTGTTTTCTTGTGAGAAGCCAAATTGCCACTTTCTGCCTCTGATCTTGCATGGATCCACTCCTGCAGCCTAATCAGAAAAAAGGGGGACCTAGTAGAACTTAATTAGAAATGAGAGGACAAAGTTCAGAACCCTGCTTTCACCAGTGTGTTTTTGTGGCTATGTTTTTGTTTTTAGGGAGTGAAGCCAGCTAGTTTTGACAAAGTAGCAATTCCTGAAGTGAAGGAAATTATAGAAGGATGCATAAGACAAAACAAAGATGAACGGTAAGTTGCCTCTTTTGACTTGGTGTTGTTTGAAAAAACTCAAAACACAGTTTCCTCTGAGTGTAAGACTCTTATCTGATGGGTATTTAATCCTTCTGATTAGTTTTTCCATTTATGCCATGTAATATTTTAAAAGTAGGGCTCTCTTGATTGAGGCTATTCAGGTTCTATGTACTGCAGCAGTGTGAGAATGTGGTTTAGTGGAAGTTAGGTAAACCAGAACAGCCTTAAACATAGTTTTCACATTCAGTGAGAGTGACTTAATAGCATTAGCATGATTTATAAAATTCAGTGGAGTTCATTCCCTAATACAGCAAACCTGTGCCTTAGTTTTTTTATCTATTGAATTTTAAAAAGTAAAATAAAATCTTGGTGCCGGTTTCTTTTTGTTTTGTTTTGTTTTGTTTTATCAGAGGCATAAGCAAATTCATTTAGCAGAAGCAAAGAAGTACACACTCAGAAAGAACTGCAGCCAGCCTTGGAGGAGTGAGGTGCCAAAATTTTTGCTCTTTAAGATCAATTCAGCTACACAGGTCTTGATTTCCTGTCATTATGCCAGAATCAAGGAAGAGCAAAACATCAAAATTTCTCTGATTACAAGAGGACTTGGCCCAAGGCTTAGGAGGAGATCTGGCTTAGTCATTTATACTAATAGAAGACTTTTTCTCAGAGGAGTGGCAAGTATCTGATCTACCATACAGCTGATTCATCACTCTTTACGAAAGGCATGAGTCTGTATCTTTTTTTGAAAAATAATCTACCTTCACCTGCCAGAAAGGAAAAAGTACACCAACCTAGTACAAATAGAAATTGTAAATTGAGCATATTCTACCTCCTGAAGAATGGGAGCTATCAGGTATATCAGCCACAGTGAAGAATTCCATATCTTCACTTCTCTAGTCTCATATTCTTTCTCATAACTTTGTTATTTAGAAGAACTTAATGTCATGCTTTTTAAGACATTTTAGGAGATTATTTAGTTTGTGTTTCTATTTTTATGTATACTGAGTCCTTCAATCTGTTTAAAAACCTTTTTCTTATAAACAAAGGAATATTTGTTTGAGGTCTTAAAACATTTTACTCTGTTTCTTTTCTGGATGGAACAGCTTACTAGTATTTTGGAACCATTATAGCTAAAGAAGATTCTTTTACTATTAGCTTTCTGCTTACCTTGAACAAGGAATTGAACAAAGAATTGAAAGAATTTTATTAAAGTAAATAAAAGTTGCTATAGTAGAAAGCACCAAAGTATGAATCAAAACATGTATGATCTTGGTTTGATTCTATCATATACAAATTTTAGAACTATGAGCAAGATTTTAAGCTTTCCTAATCATCAGGAGATGATACCTTATTGAATGTTACTCAAGAGTTAGATAAGGTCATAGGTAAGAGGATTATGGTTACTTATAATTAAAATGCTATACAAATGATTGTGTATTTTTAAGCTTTGATAGGCTACAATTTTAAACTGTCTTTATCTGATGGTGTACACCTGGGAATCCAGTACTCTGGAGACTGAGGCAAAAAGATCAAAAGTTCAGGACCAGCCTAGAGAATTTAGTAAAAAAAAGTCACTCTCAGTTCTTTCTCACAAATCAGATCATTATGATATTATGATATTGGTAACTTAAGTACAACTCACGAAGTATTCACATGGAATAATGTAGAAATAAATTGTAAATCTTCCCTTTCCTTTTCAGTCTCTCATGTAATAATAATTGTCATATTTAAAAGTTTATCTTTTCAAGCTTTGCACAGTGGTAAGTGCCTGCAATCTCAGCATTCAGGAGGCTGTCTGGAGAATCACTTGAGCCTAAGAATTCAAGATCAGCCTGGGCAACCTACTGAGACACCTCAAAAGGGAAATTACCTGTTAAAGTTAATGACATCTTGGTTTTGTTTCTTTTTCTTTTCCTTCTCTTTGGAAGATACTCCATCAAAGACCTTTTGAACCATGCCTTCTTCCAGGAAGAAACAGGAGTACGAGTAGAATTAGCAGAAGAAGATGATGGAGAAAAGATAGCTATTAAGTTGTGGCTGCGCATTGAAGATATTAAGAAATTAAAGGGAAAATACAAAGACAATGAAGCTATTGAGTTTTCCTTTGACTTGGAGAGAGATGTGCCAGAAGATGTGGCTCAGGAAATGGTAAATTTGTACTAATCCACCGTTTAAAAGTCCATGTAGATTTATATACATTGATACTGTTCAGCAAAAAAGTAGTTGATAAAGTGATGTGTGTGGTATATCCCATTAGCATATACAGCCTCTTCTTTTACGTTTTTGCCCTGTTTTTCTAATGGGTGTGTGATCCTTCTTAAAAGCTGTTTTATGGTTGGGTGTGGTGGCATACACCTGTAATCCCAGCACTCTAAGAGACAGGCAGGAGGATCACAGTAAGTGCAAGGGCAGCTGGGGACACAAAGTGATTTCAAGGCCAGCCTGAACTGCATAGTAAAACCCTACCTCAAAAAAGACCCCCCAAAACAATTATTTTATTTTTTGGAAAAAGACATAAAGATGGATGAGATAAAGAACAAACTAGAATGTATTCTAAGTAGTCATTTTAAAAGTCTATAAGGTTGATAGAGGTCTAATTTGTATAAGTTAGAGTGAAAGTTGCATTTTTAAATATTGGGTAGGCCTTTGATGAGTCAGATCAGTTGTTACTTACTAGGCACCCTTTGCTGTATCCTTATTTCAAGTTTGTCTTAAGATCACTTTTCCAAAAGGAAACCCTTCATCATGTTTATGCTTGACACAATGTCTGAAATAGTCAATTATTATGCAAAGTCACTCATCAAATATCTCTAGGATTAATAAGAACCATTTAGTAGTCATTGCCCCTGAGAATGGGTCAGGTGTGAGAGATTTAAGTGGTAGTGTTTTATACTGTTTGCAGTTTTGGGGGTTTTTTGTGGTTTTTTTTTTTCCATGTATTCACAACAGTTTTATCTGGATAAGCGTATGCCTAATGAAAGGAAATAAAACCAACACATGTTAATGTTAATGACTACGAGTCAGAAATACGGTGACTAGAATAAAATATTTTACTTCTTTTTTGAACACTGTGGTTTTAGGTGCCCCTTTGTTTTGATTGTCTTGAGCAGAAAGGTACATCCACCTGGAATTTCTACAAAGATGGTGGCACCCACCCACCTACCACAAGGATGGGGAAGTGTGCAATACAAACCAATAATTTCACAGTTTGGTTAAGAGCAGTCCTGAGAGTAGTTGCTTCCCCTTCTCTACTTTTCTACAATGTGATTTTTGCTTAATATTTTCTTACTTTCTTTTAATACCCTGTTTTTCCTGATATACCCTTTTATTCTGTAGGTAGAATCTGGGTATGTTTGTGAAGGTGATCATAAGACTATGGCTAAAGCTATCAAAGACAGGGTGTCGTTAATTAAGAGAAAACGAGAACAGCGCCAGTTGGTACGAGAGGAGCAAGAAAAAAGAAAACAGGAAGAGAGCAGTCTTAGACAGCAGGTTGAACAACAGTCAAGTGCTTCCCATACAGGAATCAAACAACTCCCTTCTGCTAGCACTGGTATACCTACTGCTCCCACCACGTCAGCTTCAGTTTCTACACAAGTAGAACCAGAAGAACCTGAGGCAGATCAGCATCAACAACTACAGTTCCAGCAACCAAGTATATCTGTGTTATGTAAGTATTCGGAGATGTAACAAATATGTCGATGATGTTCCTAACTTTCCCTCCCCCCAGTGCTAAGGATCTAACCCAAGGCCTCACGCATGTTCAGCAAGTGCTGTACCACAGACCTACACCCCAACCCCTGAATTGCCTTTTTTTATCTTGTTTGTTTTGGAGTAGAATTACAAATTCAACATATAATAAGGAATTTGAAGTGGTTGCCATGTAACTTCTTTTGATTCTTACTACCATACCTAATAGAATAGAAGGATAAGACATTGGGGAAATGTGATCAGAATGTGAGATAATTTCAAAATTTCCAATATCTTGAGAGATACCAATTTATAGAATGTTACTTTTCATAGTACCTTAAATACAGTTAATGAACAGTGAACAAATTTAACTGCTTAAAATTAAATCTGTTGATCTGGTTCAACTCTTTCAACAAAGCTAAATAGCTTAGAGACTAAGAACTAATGTAACTGGTAGTTACTGACTGAATTAACAACCTAATGTTGAGAGCCCACAGGTAAGACTTTGAAAGCTGGATAAAACTTAAGCCTTACTTATAACATTGCATTTTATTTCCCTTGTTTTTCAAGTGATAAGATTCTTGATAACCAGAGAATTTTTTTTTAAAGAATATATTAGAATTTTTTTCCAAATGAATCCCTCATTTAATTGTTTAGTTTTTTTGTTGTTGTTGTTTTCCAGTACCAGGAATCAAACTCATGACCTCACACTTGCCAGGCAGGCACTGTGCCACTGAGCTAAATCCCCAGCCCCTGGATCCCTCATTTAAATGTAGAAATTTATTTCCTATGATTGCTACTAATTTTTTCTTTAGTTCAGGTTTGTGGAAACAACCAGTTAACCCTAATGTAATGTCTAAAATATTATGGGAAATGTGAACTTCCTTTTGTAATTTGTCTTTCTGGTTTTTGTTTTTGTTTTGGGGGTTTTTTTTTGGTGATTCATTTCAGCCGATGGGACAGTTGACAGTGGTCAAGGATCATCTGTGTTCACAGAATCTAGAGTGAGCAGCCAACAGACAGTCTCATATGGTTCCCAACATGAACAGGCACATTCTGCTGGTACAGTCCCAGGGCACACAGCTGCTACTGTCCAAGCACAATCTCAGCCCCATGGCATATATCCACCTTCATGTATGGTAAGTAAATAGAGAAGAGAACGTAATACTACAAGAGCCAGTAGGTAATTCTGTAGGTAGAATCTGGGTATGTTTGTGAAGGTGATCATAAGGCTATGGCTAAAGCCATATATTTTCTACTGTCCAAGTAGCAATGTATGTTTAAAGTAGAAACTATAAAAAAAATTTTAAACATAAAGTAGAAACTATACATGGTATACAGTCAGCCTTCTATGTCTGTGGGTTCCATAGTTAGATATAGATATTAAAATGTTAAAATTTGCATCTGCCCTAGACATGTACAGACTTTTTTGGTCATTATTCCATAAACAATTTAACAACTATTTGCCTAGCATTTATATTACATTAGGTTATTATGTGTAATTTAGAGATGATTAAAATATGTGGGATTATATGACTAGATTATATGCAAATACTATACCATTTTATATACTTGGGCACCCACAGATTTGGATATGTTAGGTGGGTCTGGAACCAACCTCCCACTGATACTGAAGGTTGACTGTATTTCAAAAGGAAACTGGTTTATTATAGCATATAATTGGATGAGATTAAGCAGGGTAAGTTAGACTGACTGATGTGAGAATTAGCTGATCTGCCTGTACAAAGCTATTATGTACAAGATTTATATTAGTCTGTGTTTGATTAAAAGTAATCTCTTTAGTTCTTAAAGAGTTTAAATTATTGGAAGCACCATAAGCTAGACATACGAGTGGTTGGGGGATGGGGTAAGGAGAGTTTTTCAAAAGCTTATATATTAAAATAATTACTGAGTATTTTCTGTAAGATTTCTTACTGTATAAAACACAGGTAAGACCTTCAAACCATTATAGAATGCTGCATGTGAGTACTCTAGAGTGAAGGAATCCTTTATTTGTATGACTCTTTAATTTAGCGCTTGTATTTAATCATCAGTTGCTATGCGTGTTCCTGCCTTTAAAGTCTGTGTTGGATACAAGTCCCTCTCCCAGTATATGTTCATTTGCTTTTCCCTTTATTTGGAATATGTTTTATTACTGACTTTCAGAATCAATTTATAGAGAACATTTTATACATACACATACATTATCTACTCTTGCTTCTCACATAGAGAATATGAAGATAGATCATCAGATAACCCCATGTCCTTTACTGACTCTGACATCTTCAGAAGAACATAAAATACTTTATCTGTCTCAGAAAGGACTTAGAACTGATCACTTCATAGCACTTATTTAGTGAGATCTTTAAGCAAACTAATTTTTTCCTTCTCAGACAGTTTTGTGGAATTCTTACTCTTCATTAAATGAAAGTCTTTCTCTGCAGACATTTCTGCTTGCTCTGGTCTTTTATGCTACAGCTTGAAATAAAAGATTTTGTTTCAGAGTCCATTGATCAGTCTGCTCTGGCCAGGATCTCAAGATGAATGGCAATAATAACACAAGGCAAACTACTAATTTACTAAAAAATTGTTTTGAGAAAGTGTCTTGCTGTGTAGCCCAGGCTGGCCTCAAACTTGCAGCAGTCCTCCTGCTTCAGCCTCCCGAGTGCTGGGATTACAGGCATCCCCAGGTGTGGTGGCACATGCCTATAATCCCAGCACTTGGGTGGCTGAGGTAGTAGGATTGCCACAAGTTGACTTTCTAACCTTAGACATGGTGGTAGAGTAGAAGAACTTTATAAAAGCTGCATACAAAAAACATTTCTGTGTTCTGACAAATATTCTTATCAGTTTCCGTCTTTGTTCTAATTTATTGCTTTCTGAATCATTGTGACTAGATTTTTTAAAACTTTTTAATCTCTTCGCTTCCTTCATTTCATGTTTTTGAACATTGATCTCTTTTAGAAAAAGGAAATGGAATCATTTTAGAGGACATTAAATATTTGAGCCACTACCATAGCTATATTTTATTTGTTCCAAAAGCATTGTCTTTTAATGACAAGTAAATGTTTTGTGGAGATATTATGAAGAATTATTAAAGACTTTAAGGAAGTTTATAAATCTATTCGTCTCACTCAAAAAACAACTTAATCATGGCTTACAGTAATATGCAGTATAAATTATAAGTGAAATTTTGGAATGAAAGTAAATAATCATGATATATATTATAGGCAACAAAATCAGCTCAAAGCATTCTATTGTCTCAGAGCCAAAAAATGTAATTACATAGATCATAATATCCACAGGGAAATTAATAAACTTGATCAGGCAACCTTATACTGTTAGACTTATTGCTGTGTACCTATACTAAATCATTTCTGCTAAGGTGCCTCAAACTTTGAAAATCTAAGCTGAATCTGATACTGCTGAACCTTTTAAGTTATTTTTTAGAAATTGAAGTTGAAGATACTTTCCTCTTGACCTAGTAAAAGTATAGAATGTTTCCTATATCCAGTTTTGCATTTCTTCCAGAAAACTAATCTTTTTCCTACTAGATAATGACTTTTTACCTTGTAGAGAAGATTAGGAAGTGTAACAAATAAAATACTCTGAGCCAAAAACTTTTTTAGTCTAATGCCTTCTAAAATAGATATAATCATGTTCTCAAGTTTCTACAGCTCTGCGAAATAATCCAGTCTTAAAACCTTCCAGTCTTGTAATATGCTTTAAACTTTCTTGTTTAATCTTACTGTTTGCAGAAACTGTAAGCTAATACTGTTTTTCCTGCTCAATACCTTCAATCAGTTACCAATTTTCTTCAGAATATTTAGATCCTTGTGATTGTTCATATACTATACTTGACCAACAGAGTAGAGAGACTACTAGATGTGCCTTGGGGAATTAAATCTCTCCTTAAAAAATTAGACTTTGTGGATTGGGGAAGATGGAGCATTTCTTTATGTTAACTATGCCTTGTTATCACTGTACATTTGGTTATTTTGTTTTCAAAGTACTGTGTTTTTCATATGTGTTTGTTTTCTGTTTAGCCTCGTCGTGGCCGTAGCATGTCGGTTTGTGTTCCCCATCTTTCTCCCGTTCCCTTTCTGTCCCGCATCTCTCCCAGTGCTCCTTCCACCCCACCACCAGTGCTGTCTGCACCTCTTTCTCCTTCCCTCCTTCGGACTGCCCCCGAGGAAACTTTTGCCGAAAAGCTTTCTAAAGCATTGGAGAGTGTCCTGCCTATGCACTCTGCCTCTCAGCGCAAGCATCGACGCTCCAGCCTGCCTTCCCTCTTTGTCAGTACTGTATGTAATTGTAAACTTCCTGACAAATGACAAATTATTACCAATGAATACATCCAGGCAACAAGAATTTTAGTGAAAATTAAATAGAGAATAGAGCTAAACTATAAACTTGGTTATATAATGTTTTCTGGGATACCAGTTATTCCTGTAGGAAAGATTTTTGAAGTAAGGATTTAAGGGGGAATAAAGGCAAGGAGGTAAAGAGAGAATACTTATAATGTCACTGACACATAACAGTAAATATCCAATAAAATTGAGCTTTTATTATCCACTAGCATAAAGTTTTGACATTTTCATATCATAGCAAAATGTGTATTATCTATTTTATAACCAATTGTTGACTTAATCAAAAGCAAACTATCAAACTTTACTCAAACATTTTTTCTCCTCACTTTATTCTTAAGGAATACTAAGAAAGGTGGATTTTTACCATAGTCATTGATGAATATTTGAGTACTAAACTTGGTTTTGATATAATCATTTGTAGAATAGTGTCAGCAAACTAAAAGTCTGCTAAATGTTCCCTCATGGGAATTATTTTGCCCTTCAGTTGAATAAGATTGGGGCCTTGACTCCAGTGAATACATTAGATACATATATAGTATGTTTGGCTTTCTTTGGTTCTATTAATATCTATTTAAAAATCTCTTTTTCAGTTGTTTTAAGTGCTGTGGGACCTTGCTGCTGCTTTTCCAGTCAAACAGTATAGTTAACACTCTGGGCTACAACTCCAGAGTCTTAAGATTTTTATTTAGGAGAATAATTCGTTGATAATGTTTAATGGTTTCAGTACACACCTTAAATAAACAGCAGTAAAATGAGCATTCTGGTTTTAAATAGAAATCCTCTTTTAGGTATTATGGACAGTTGAGCCACTTTGCTAACATGATAGAAGTCTTCTGTATTGGTAGAATAAAACTGATCTCTTGAAAAGGAATCCATGATAGTAAAAACAGTAATCATTACACGTATCATTTGAGTTTGGCAATGATAAATTCAAAATTGTTTTAACAGAAAGTGCTGTTAAATCAAATTGGCTAGTGTGTATTATCTGCTTTGCCTGATTTTGACACTAGTTATGAGACTAAAAGAATTCATGGTGTTCAACCCTTACCAGTGTTTAGCAAAGTAAATATTTGGTGATTTGGTGTCTATAACATGTTTTATGTAGTAAAACTATTAACTGTCTAGTTCGGGATAGATGAGAAGGACATGACTATCATAGTCAAGTAGTTTGTGTTACACTAGCTAACAAAAATTTAGTTAGAAGATAGATATACCATTAGGACTGGGGATATAGTTCAGTGGTGCAGCACCTGCCTGGCAAGTGTGAGCTCAGGACTTCAATTCCTAGTACCAAAAAAAAAAGAAGACGTACAAGTAGTTGATGAAAAATAACACTGACACCTCTTAACACAGCATAGAATGCTAAGAATATAGACTATGAGAAAATTAGTACAATAGCATAAATTGAAGCATACTTCTTAGCATCACAAAAATATTTGGGCTATTGCACTTTAATACTTATTCTTTAACTTTTTTCATTGATGGAAATCTTAAGTCTTAACAGTAAGCATTTAATTGTAGATACAATAATCATTTAGTGAGTTTAATTCATTCCTTTACTTGGAGACAGGAAGGTTGTGGGAAAGCAGCTCTTTGTCTAATGCAGAGTCCCATAGATTAATTTTATTGTCCCTGGATGTATTTAATGGATTTTTATTCTGCACATAATTTCCAAAGCATTGCTGTTTCTTTATGATAAATTTAGTGTAACTATTTTATAGGGTTACACAAAACTATCTAGTTGTGCATGTCTGATGTAATTTAACATATGAATGTATGAATTACTTGTCTTATTCATGTTGATACAGCCTCAGTCCATGGCGCATCCGTGTGGGGGGACCCCAACATACCCAGAATCACAGATATTTTTCCCAACTATTCATGAGCGTCCAGTTTCTTTTTCACCACCTCCCACCTGTCCACCGAAAGTAGCCATTTCCCAGCGGCGTAAGAGCACCTCCTTCCTGGAAGCCCAAACTCGCCATTTTCAACCCCTGCTGAGGACTCTTGGCCAAAATCTTCTTCCACCTGGTGGCAGCCCAACTAACTGGACACCAGAGGCTGTAGTTATGTTGGGTACTACAGCCAGTAGAGTAACTGGAGAGCTATGTGATATACAGGTCCATCCTACTATGTCTGAGCCAACTCAAGTTTACAGTGACTATAGACCTGGACTAGTACTTCCAGAAGAAGCTCGCTATTTTATTCCTCAGGAAGCAGTGTATCTAGCTGGGGTACATTACCAGGCCCAGGTGGCAGAACAGTATGAGGGCATTTCGTACAACTCACCAGTACTGTCAAATCATATGAAACAGATACCTGAACAGAAGCCAGTTCAAGGGGGCCCTACTTCAAGTTCTGTCTTTGAATTTCCATCTGGACAGGCTTTCCTGGTAGGACACCTTCATAATTTAAGATTAGATTCTGGATTAAGTCCAGGATCTCCCCTCTCTAGTATTCCTCCACCTCTCAGTACAGATGCTACATGTTTGAAATTTCACCCTGTCTTTGTTCCTCATTCTGCACCTGCTGTGTTAACTCACAGCAATGAGAGCAGAAGCAACTGTGTATTTGAATTTCACGCTCAGACACCGAGCTCCTCTTCAGGAGAAGGAGTTGGAATTTTACCTCAACGTGCTTACCGAAGTCAACAAGTTGCAGTGGACGCAAATCAGGATGAAACGCCTCCTCAGTCAGTTGGATTACATGGCCACCTGCAGCCTGTGACTGAAGAACAGCGTAATTACCATGCCCCAGAACTCACCATTTCTGTGGTAGAGCCTGTCGGACAGAACTGGCCAATAGGAAGCCCAGAATATTCCAGTGATTCCTCACAAATCACTTCATCAGATCCCAGTGATTTTCAGTCACCTCCCCCTACAGGGGGAACAACTGCACCTTTTGGCTCTGACTTCTCATTACCCTTTATCCATCTGCCTCAGACAGTATTACAAGAATCCCCACTTTTCTTCTGTTTCCCCCAAGGGACCACATCTCAGCAGGTCTTATCTGCCTCATTTTCTTCAGGAGGATCTACACTCCATCCACAGGTTATAGGAAAAGTTCCACGGTTCTTTTAAATCATTATATGTGATTATAATTTATCTCTTATTTCCCTGAATCATGGAATTACGAGGAATAATGTTTAATTTTTTCAATAGAGTTTCCCCATCTTTTCAAGGTCATAAACTCTTTGTATTTAAGAAAAAAATACGAAGCAGAAGCTACCTGATTTGCCTGTAATGCTTGCCAACCTTTGGGGAAAAAAAGAATACCAAAGCTAAAATTTTAATCACTCATCAAAATCAAGGTCTTTTGTCCTTATATGTAATATTTTCAAGTGGTAGTGAAAATGCACTTATCTATACTGTAAGGTTGATTAGGTATACTAAACTGAACTATAAGTTTCTTCCTATGAACAAGTTTTTTGAAAAACAGTACAAAAGAATAGTTTTCATAAAAAGTGAAATGAATGGAAGATAGTAAAAACTTTTTTGGAGTATTTAGAATTATTGCACAGGATTTTCATTAGTGCAAGGGCCCTAAAAAGACAGCAAAAAGGAGACATCTTGGGAGTTTGGCTTAACAAATGAAGATGGCTTTTTGAAATAGCATCAGTTAATCAAGTCACTATGTATCATGTCCAGATAAAATAGTAATCCATAAAGTTAAGGACTGACTGATTCTAATTTTAGCAGCTGAGTTAGATCTAATGAGTGGTAGATGTATTAATTTTTGTTTGAAGAATCTGATGTACATTGCAAGGTCAAGAATATTTGCTATCCCAGGTCTTGCTTTTTTTTCCTCAACAAATTTAATTTAGTTTTTTACGTGAATGAGCATATATACTTATGCAATAATGACAAAGTAAGTAACATAAATTAAAGAAATAATGTTGACCTTTTTTTTTTTTTCCACTACTGGGAATTAAACTCACGACTTTGCGCTTGCCAGGCAGGCGCTACACGGCTGAGCTAAATCCCCAGCCCCAGTGTTGACTATTTTATGTATTCTTTTAATATATATTATCGGATGTATATACATCTTACAAATCTACATAGAAGATTATATAACTCTAAGACTTCATTCTAATCTTCTAAATATTCTAAATATAGTATTATAAAATACTATATGTTCTTATTCTTTCTTCCTATGTTCTTCCCCCACCAAAGGCATAAAGAACTCCAAAAGTGTACAGAAAGTATCAATTACTTAGAGTAGCACTAAGAAGCAAAAAGATCCAGAAACTTAAACTATACTGTATGGGCATGTAGTATACTCACATCAGATGCATATTGATAGTTTCTACTGTAAATATTAATGTACTAGCCATTCTTTTTTAAACTTTCCAAGGTAAAAGTTCTGATACAAAATAGTTAATTTAAAAAAGTTGTATATCTATGTAAGCTTCAAAGAACCTCTTCTAAATTGAAATGGAATAATAAAGGTAGTACTTTTCTGTTTCCTTAACCTACCTAGATGTATAATCCTATATTTGTTTCTCATTTTCTCATTTGTTTTAATTTAGACCTTTTCATAATTGGAACACTCTGGTCAGAGTTTCTCAAACACAATAGGAGTGGCATTTAGGGTTGAATAATTCTTTGTTATGAGGGAGGCTCTTCTGTGTATTACAGGATATTTAGCAGCATCCCTGGTCTCTGACTACCAGATGCTAACAATAGCCATAGCTCCCAGTTTTCTGACATCTGGAAATGGCTCTAGGTAGTGACACATGTTCCCTGGGTAACAGCCATTACTGTAGGTACTGAGCAGTTGATTTTAACAGATTTTTAAATTTTTAATAAAAATCACTATGGCACTACAAGCAGTAGCAAAAAGAACCAAATTAGCATTATCAAATGTCTTTTTTTCTTTTACATTAATAGTAATAGTCCTAACACTTTTTTCCTGGTTACTAAACTTCCAATAACAATTTTATTATGAGTCTTACTATTCTAGCCAGCCAAAATTATACCATGAGCATCAGTGGTGAGTTAGAATTGAATTATCAGTGGTTTTCTTATTGGATGGAATCACAAATTTTCTAATGTATGATTCTGCCCTAAATTTTTCTTACAAAAGATACCCCAGAAGCCTCTCCCATACATACTTAATCAAGCTAATGTTTCATTTTGATCAGGCAAACTTCTCAGGAGTTTTTGTTGCAAAAGCCTGACCTGTATACACATACCGTAGGCCTTCTCTAATATGTTGTATTCACTTGTTTCATCCAGGCACAGGGGCAGAGCCAGGGCCAGCCATCCTCAAGTAGCTTAGCAGGGGTTCCACCTTCCCAATCCATCCAACATCCTCAGCAGGTGAGAACAATGCATTGCTGTGTTTTATGATTAGTAGTTATGGCCAAAATACTGTCTCACATCTTTTGTGAGTTGATTCTTAAGTTTTTCAAAGGGAAATTAAGAAGCATAACTTTTTTTGTTCATTTTAGGAAATCTTGTTTGTTTAGTATACTTTTAAACAATGTAGTAAATACATGTTAAAATTTTAAAAGAATCATTGTTACTGATATAATTTATCTGCTTTCTTAACTGATTGTACACAAACGGTACAAAGACTTATCAGTTTGTTTCTACTTACATTTATGACTGGTCCACATATGAGCACTTTGTCATTTTTTTCATGGTGCTTGACTAATAATCCTAAATTCCTTTTAAATTATTTCTACCGTTTGGGTTATAGTATCAGATTTTATGCTACAAGGCATTGAATGAAAGCCTTAAGAACAACTACTGCAGAAAGATTGGAAGAAAATTTTTTATTAAACTTCTGATTTTGCGTGATTTGTTCCAAAAGATGCAAGAAACTCAAAAGATTAATGTAATGCTTATATATATAGCCAAACTAGTCATTTTAAAATTAAATATAGCTCCTCACTGATACTAGTTAATAGTAATAATTTGCAAAGAAGTAATACTTTTTTGCCATAATTGAATATTTATTAGCCATTTCAAACAAAATTTATACCATTACCTGTGTAATACAAACCTTGAGAGGTATGGTGGCGGGCTCTTAGCCAGATTGCTCAGGAGGCTGAAGCCAAAGGATCACAAATTCAAGGCCAGACTGGGCAACTTATTAGCAAGACAGTGTCTCATAAAAAGTTTAAAAAGGGATGGGGATGTAACTTAGTGCTCCTTGGGCTCAATACCACCCCCAAAAAGTTACAGTGGTATGCTGTATCTTAATGTTGTGCCAAAAATAAACTTCATCAACTGGGAGGCTCTGTGGTCATAAACAAGGCTATGAGCTATTCTTATAAATAGTTCTTTTCTGTAGGAGTACCTCTAAAACAGTGGCAAAACTATGGTACATGTGCCACAGCAGGCTGTTTGTATCATTGAAAGCCTAAAGGTTCGCCATCTCTGCTGTAGAGTCTTCAAGTATTCTTTCTTTTCTGTGCAAATGAGGAGCATATATGTTTTGCTTGAAGCAACCATGTCCAACAGATGATACACAGTGAAAATGGTTTCATGGAGTAAGTTTCTGCAAATCCTGAGGCTGGGCTGCTGTGTTAAACCATACCTTCTTGGCTGTAATGGTGTTGATTAGCACAAGCAGATCACCATGCTTTTTTGTCCTACCCAGAGGTGCCACTTCTAAAATACTTTTCTGACATAGATGCCTATCATTTGTCTTAAGCAAAGAGTGAGGGAATAAATTCTACAGTCCTTCAGTCTTACTCTCCATCCCAAACTAAACAGGTTGGTTTTTTTTTCTTACTTTTCTTGCTGAGTTCAGATACCGTAGGTTAATCAAAATGGACTAGATAATGATTGCTCTCACAGAACCTAAATAATGTAGTAAACATATGTGTATATGTCTACAAAACAAATAAGAACAGTAGCTAATATATACAGTGTGCAAGACATTTTACCTGTATTTGTATTAAGTCCCTATAAAAATCCTATAAATGTAGGTAGTATCATTGTTTCCATTTTATTAATGGGAAGAGGAGACCTGGAGAAGTCTGAGCAGTATATCTAACCCTGCACTGTAGCTTGTAAAAAGTGAAAATAGCTTGAATAGTTGGACTTCACAGCTCCCCATTTAACTTCTACCCAATTATGTCCCCAAAGGGAAGGAAATTAACATCTCTTCTGAGTAGAAGGGAGTTACTGGAAAACTTTATATATAAGCAATGATATATTAGACTTTTATTATAAGTTAGATTCAGATGAAGGAATAAAGAATTTTTCCAGGCCTAAAAGGGGAAGAGAAGCAATAAGAGCAAAGGGAGAAAACTCAAAGATAAAAAAGTAAGGGACAGGGGCCAGGGGTATAGTATAGCTCAGTGGCACAGCATCTGCCTGGCAAGTACAAGGTCCTGAGTTTGATTCCTGGTTCAGAAAAAAAAGAGACAGAAACAAATATGAATTTATTTTGGCTTAGAATGTAAAGATACATAAAGATGTAAGTTCAAGAAAGAGTTGATAAAGAATCCAAATTTTGGTGTGAGCATGATTATAAACTGATGAGACTGGGAAAGGACAGGGATTTTATGATTACTGAATCACCAAATACAGTATAAGGTGGGATTTTTTTTTCCATTTATATTTATTCCTTAGAAGAGAATTACCATGTATTCAAATCTTTATACTCTTATATTACAGAATTCTCATTGTCCTTTATTTTGAACAGCCCCCAAAATGTTAATAAAACCAAGTAAAACAAAGTCCGTATTTTTAGAGATAGGGCTTCAGTAATCCAAGTTTGTTTCTGTTTTTGTTGTGTGTGTGTGTGTGTGTGTGTGTGTGTAGATATATATATATATGTCCCCTTTTGGACAGGGTCTCACTGTGTAGTTCAGGCTGGCCTTGAACTTGTAGCAGTCCTCCTGGCTCAGCCCCCTGAGTGCTAGGATTATAGGTGTGTGCCACCTTGCTTGGCTTTGTATATGGTTACAAATAATTTGTTTAAAGATTCCTTTAAGAAGTTATACAAAGTTTAATGCCAGGCATGTTGGAACATGCCTCTGTAATCCCAGCACTTGGGAGGCTGAGGCAGGAGGATCATTGCGAGTTCCAGACCAGCCTGAGCTGCATAGTGACGCTGTCTGAAAAAGACGCCCCCCGCAAAAAAAAAAATTTACATAAATATAAACCTACAAGATACATGGGAAAAAAAAAAATCCACCTTAAATTAATAATGTCCAAGCAGATACTTAACCATTTCAAATTCTACCTCAAGACAACTTAAAGGGAAAGTGCTGTGTTATGCTGGAAAACTACCCGAGCACCCATAGAGTGAAAATAAAAATGTTGATGTCTTACATTTGAAGAGTTTCAGGGAAGGGGAGCAGTGTTTTTGAATTAATAATTTTATGCAGCTGTGATTTAATTAAGTAAAAACTAATGAATTATATAATTGTACATATTTCATTCGTATTCCTTACTGTTTAAATATGTTTATGTTGGGCAAAAAAATGTCTGGTTTTTAGTTCTGCTTTTTCTATGGGGAAGTAAGGTAAGGGTCTGATATTCAGAGTTAACCTTAGTGTTGTTTACATGTGGTATCTTAGTTTCTGGGGAAAGTTTTTATATAGTTCAACAGCCATTCATTTCTGAGTGGTACAGTAAGAATTCACTGTTAAGGAATAATGAAATAGGAGCAAAACAAGCATGACTGCTATCACCATTATATTTCAGAATTTTTTTGGTGGTTTGGTAATTTTAATTTATATAGTTAAGAAAGAAGGAATAAATACAAGAAGAGCAAAAATACTATCATTTAATATTTGTTATCACTTAATCATTTGTTAAGATTATCACTTAAATCCAAGACAAACATTAGAGTGACTATATGCATGATAAAGACAAAATAAATAGCTTGTCTTTATACCAGCAGTAACACAAATAAAATGCTGTTGGTTAGAGCATTAAGTAGCAAAAAAAAAAATTCAAATGACCAAATGTTCATTATGAGGCAGATTACTGTCTGTGGGATGGGTGTGTTTTTGTTTTATTTGTTTCAACAACAGTAACAGTACACCTGTGTGTAAACGACCCCTGCTACCTAGGAGAAAATCATAGAGATGATGCACCGAACCACAAATAGGGTTAGGATATTTTCATTTCACTTTATAATTAGAAATACTGGTTAAAATATTTATTAAACAGGTGTTGGTATATATTTAGAAAGAAAAAATTAAATTATATAAGTATTAGAGTCTTGAAAGTTAGCTATAAAGTTCAGGTTTTTGTTAGGTAAAAGAGGGGCTTTAATATTAGAGTAATACTCCCTATTTTGTTTGCTTGATTTATTACAAAGTTTACTATTTGGGTATAATTACATAGTTAATTTCCAGATTTGCTCCTTTTACACCACTTTGATTCGAATGATAGTGTTCTTATTTTCAAAAATGAAATCTCATTTTTCTAATAAAATGAGCAATTGTGTAATAACATGCAGCATTATTACAGCTAGTAAGCAATAAAACTAAAATTTGAAACTATTTCCTGGTTCAAAGCTCAATAATTTGCTCACTGTTTTGTTTCTGGAATTAAAGTAATTATACAGTGGACAAACTAGGGAAAGGAAGTTATTTGGACATGGTATCTAAATGGCTTGCTGTTGGGTGAAGGTAATATTTGGGTAGAGGACTAGTGGAGACTCAAGTTTTGGAACCTTGGCTAATTGTAATAGTATCATCACAAAGAACGCTAGAGGAAAAACATATAAAGGGAACTTGGGTTTTTGCATGGTATCAGCACGGAGAACATCAGAGGAAAACAGATACATAAGGGGAATTGATGAATTTGCATTTCTAAATTACTAAAATTACCCTTGGAAACATACTATTAATGCTTTGAAATAAAACTGAATCATGAGCCACTCGCAGTGGTGCATGCCCATAGGCCATTGACTGAGGAGACAGGCAGGAGAAAAGATTGAGCCTAGGAGACTGGAGGCAGCTTGGGCAGTATAGCAAGACCCAACTCAAAAACAAATGACAAAAACAACTGAATCATTATATTTTATTCTTAGCAGCAGGGAATACAGCAGACAGCCCTTCCTCAACAGACAGTACAGTATTCACTTACACAGACAGCAACCTCCAGTGAGGCCACTACTGCACAGCCAGTGAGTCATCCTCAAGCTCCACAGGTCTTGCCTCAAGCATCAGCAGGAAAACAGGTAAACACTTCATTTCTGAAAAGATGCTAAAAGGAATCTCCATGTAACTTGTCCTTGCTTGTAGATAAACTTCTACTCTTCTAATAGTGAAATATTTGTTGAACTTGGTTAATCTCACTGAAATGATATCAAAATTGCTCCGTGTGTACATATGTATTATTTAATGTAAATGAGTACATAATCACATCAATGACAATCTAAAAATATTTCACTTTTAGATTTATCAGTATAAAATAGTTACAGGTATTAAAACTAATGGCTTAAATAATGGTGCTTTAGTAACTGAACCTGTGACATTCTCTAGAAATGGTTAGTTGTATGATGTTCTAGGTTTGCAACTATGCTTTATTTTCTGTAGATTTCTGCTGTTTCTTCTCTCATTATATACTGATAGTAAGTCATACTGTCAAACTTCTTATGTGGAGTAGGGTTTTTTTTTAAAAGTAGTTCTAGTCACTCCAAAATTACCCTGTAGGAAGTATGCTTTTCTGAATGACCTTTTTTCAACAAAAGAAGAGTATCACTATGCTTATATGTGCACAGTGTATTGTCATATTTCATCATATCTAAAATATTGTTGCCTGTAAAATGCACCATTATTTTATGAACCAAAGAGTATACACTGACACATCATCAGTTGTAAGAGATGAATTATTCCAGTTTTTGAAACGTTGAAATGACAGGGATGACTTTGCCCTAGAATTCATGGCATACATTATACACCTGCTCTTATAGAGCTGTGTTAGACCTAAGACTTATAGAAGTATAAGAATGAGTCCCACTGGGGAAAAACTTCATTTGAATTTCATTAACTACTTGGAATAGCAGTCATAGTCTTAGTGACAACAGATATGCCAGTGGATTATGGCATATGCAGTACATAACAGGAAAGCTATTAAAAACAACCGCCACCACCAATGCTTGCCTGTGGAAAGGACTTATTTTTATTGACAGTGATGAAACATTAGCAAAGGTTTTGACAGCGCAAGGTTTAGAACAGAAGCCAGTTTACCAGTCTATTTTTCTCCTGCTGTCCTTTCCTATTCTTACGTGGCATATTAACTTACACTAATATATGCAGGGTTTTGTTTGTTTCCTTCTTTTTAGTTCAAACTTAATTCTGCTTTTGGCAACCTTGCTTTAAAAAAAAAGTCGGTTTTGTTTTTCTTTGCTTTCCCAGCTTCCAGTTTCCCAGCCAGTACCAACTGTCCAAGGCGAACCTCAGATCTCAATTGCGACACAACCCTCAGTTGTTCCAGTCCACTCTGGTGCTCATTTTCTCCCTGTGGGACAGCCACTCCCCACTTCTTTGCTCCCACAGTACTCTGCCTCTCAGATTCCCATATCAACTCCACATGTGTCTACGGCTCAAACAGGTTTTTCATCCCTTCCCATCACAATGGCAGCTGGCATTAATCAGCCTCTGCTCACCTTGGCTTCATCTGCTACATCAACTGCAATCCCAGGGGCTTCAACTGTGATTCCTAGTCAGCTTCCAACTCTTCTGCAGCCTGTGACTCAGCTGCCAAGTCAGGTTCACCCGCAACTCCTGCCATCAGCAGTTCAGTCCATGGGAATACCAGCTAACCTTGGACAAGCTGCTGAGGTTCCACTTCCCTCTGGAGATGTTCTATACCAGGTATTGTGTTAACTAGCAAAAAAAAAGAGGGCACTAGAGGGTCAGACCATCAAGAACTTGAAAGTCTAGCAGTTGAGTATCAGAATAACAAAAGTTGCTAATCTCAACTAGAGAAGCTAACAGTAAAATTCTGAGAAAGGATAGGGTGATGATGTATGATGACTCATCCATTTTTCGTGAGATGCAACTTGGGAGAATAATGATACTCTCCATATTCGTTATAAACTAACAGAGTACTAGATATGGTTTAATACAGTACATCAGGCTGCATTTGTATATGTAGGTGGTGTGGATAAAGTAGGCAGTATGCTATCCAGGGTTTAGGTTTAGAAGCTGAGCATTCTGTAGTAAGGCTGAAATGACTGACACTTGCATTCTAAATATAAGATTAGCTAGAAAGTAGATGCCTTTCTAGAAGAAATTAATTTATCAGTCCCATGTAATCTTCAGAGCTGGGCACAGTAGTACATATCCATAATCTGAGCACTCAGGAAGCTGAAGCAGAAAGCTTTCAAGTTCAAGGCCAGTCTGGACTACATAGTAACACCATCTCAAATCCCCCAGACTCCCCAAAAGAAAATCTCCAGGGGGGAAGGGAGCAAAAACTAGCAGTTAAGGTATGATTATTGAGTTTGAGTTCTGTCCCCAGATTGGAACTAACCTAGCATTTCAAGAATGATCTTTAAGTGTTCCTTAATTTATTAGTAAGAGAATATTCTTTGCTGTGTGCACCCCCACCCTCACCTTTTGGCATGTCTTGCTGATTTGCTAATTTGATGTCCCAACCTGTACTAACTCACCTTCCTCATTTCTGTCACAGGGCTTCCCTCCTCGACTGCCACCACAATACCCAGGAGATTCAAATATTGCTCCCTCTTCCAACATGGCTTCTGTTTGCGTCCATTCTACAGTTCTGTCCCCTCCTATGCCAACAGAAGCATTGGCTACACCAGGTTACTTTCCTACAGTGGTGCAGCCTTATGTGGAATCAAATGTTTTGGTTCCTGTGGGCGGTGTAGGAGGACAGGTTCAAGTGTCCCAACCAGCAGTGAGTTTAGCACAACCCCCTACTACATCCTCCCAGCAAGCAGTTCTAGAGGTAAATTAAATTGTTGCATGTTTTTATATGAAACATATATAGATGGGATAAAAATGTAAAATGACAGGAGAAACATAGGCTCCTCTAGTTTAGAACTCATTTGGAGACTATGTCAAACTAACTTCTGAACGACTTTTTCTTCCAGCAGAATGAAATGCCAATGTGGGGCCCATGTTGCCACTGGCTGTTCTGTTGGGAAGTGAGTGTGCCTTGGAGATTAATCCTATTAGCACTTCACTTCTCTAGCTAGTACTTTAGCTATTATTCTTATCCTTCCACAAACTCTTGCCATTGGCAGTCATAGGAATATCAGCCTGCTGTGCTCTCAGCAGTCATTGTTGCCGTACTAGGAGAAAGATCTGAGTTCATCTTTGCACTTTGCTCTGCCTACCCTATTGCACACTTCTGGTAAGACGCTGGCTGCATGGCAAGTTGTTAGTTTCACACTGCCTAGCAAATAGGTTGGCTGACCTCACACCGTGCAGTCTATACCAGAAACTAGCTTTAGAAACTTCCTTTGGAATTTTGAGATCACTGTCTATAGATGCTTAATATTGAGATTTACTAGTGAGTAAATTTACTGCTTCGAGGTCTTAAGGGAGGGATACAAAGGGGGAAAATGGTAAAGGGAGCTTTTTGGGGAGATGGTGAATGATGAATACAATATATTATCCCCCAAGGTTTGAATTATTCTTCCCATTCACAGAGTACTCAGGGAGTCTCTCAGGTTGCTCCCCCCGAGCCACTTCCAGTAGCACAGCCACAACCTACCCAGCCTGTCACTTTGGTTTCTTCTATAGACAGGTAGGTAAAATTCAAATGTTCCTCTGACTTTTAAGTAGGGTGGTATGAAACTTTAAAGTATCAGACCTTTAAACCTCATACTGTAAACTGAACTTTTTTTTTCAAAGTGCACATTCAGATGTTGCTTCAGGTATGAGTGATGGCAACGAGAATGCCCCATCGTCCAGTGGAAGGCATGAAGGGAGAACAGCCAAACGCCATTATCGAAAATCTGTAAGAAGTCGCTCTCGTCACGAAAAGACTTCACGTCCAAAACTAAGAATTTTAAATGTAAGTAGTGTTGATTTATGGCCTCAAAGAAATTTGGCACTTAGAAGAATTTTAAAGATTGTCAGTCAAATCCAAGCTATTCATTTTACAAAATAAAGATACCTCTGTGTGATACATAATTTATATGGCACTCTTCTCTTTTAATCTGCACAAACCCAATTAGTTGAGTATCACATTTTTCAGGTGGAAAATAGTGAAAATATAGTTCATCAAGCAGTAAGGGCTAGCAATTAATATCATTTAAGTAAATCTTTTTTTTTTTTTTTCCTTTTTTTTTTTTCTTTTTTTTTTTTCTGTCTTTTTGAGACAGGGGCTCACTATGCAGTTGAGGCTGACCTTGAGCTCACTTTGTAGCCCAGGCTGGTCTGGAACTCTCAATGATCCTCCTGCCTCAGCCTCCCAAGTGCTGGGATTACAGGCATGCACCACCACACCAAGTCATTTAAGTAATTCTTAAGTCTTAGGCAAATATTTCAAAGTTTAGGTAGGATCCTCTGAATAGCTGAATGATATTCTTAAATTCCATATTTCTCTTGTAAGGCACATTACCTTTTTGTTGGTTGTTTGCTGGTGGAGGGGGTGGTTTTATGTTTTTGTTTGAGGCAGGGTCTTGCTGTGTAGCCCAGGCTGGCCTCAAACTCATGGTGATCCTTCTGCCTCAGCCTCTATAGATGTATACCACCACATCTGGCAGTATTTTCCTTTTAGAAAAAGAGCATTTTTGTTTTATAGAAAAAAACATTACATTCCTTTTAGACTCTAGTGAAAGATGAATAAGTAGCTGAAAAGCTGATTTCTTTTCATAGGTTTCTTGTTTTGTTTTTTGTTTTTTGTTGTTGTTTTGTTTTGTTTTTTTTTTGCTACCAGTTTAAAAGACAGAGTGATGACACTGCTTCTTCAGACTTTAAATTTGAGTATTAGTCTGGGTAATTTTTCTCAAATGTAGTGATAAAGCTAGTTTTTTGAAGTGAAATACTTTTTTCTTTCTCTTTCTAGGTTTCAAATAAAGGAGACCGGGTAGTAGAATGTCAGTTAGAGACTCACAATCGGAAAATGGTTACATTCAAGTTTGACCTAGATGGTGACAACCCTGAGGAGATAGCAACAATTATGGTAGGTTGCATTTGGAGTTTCAGATTTTTCTCTGGTACTTGATCTGAATATCCATTTACCTAGGTACTATCCATGTTTTGTGATCCATGTTTATTTAGACAGGTATGTATTTATTCTAGTATGACTATAATGAAGACACCCTGTTGTCCAGAGATATTTTTGTTTAGGATGTGTCTAAGTATTAAAGTTCTTAAAAACATAAGAGCTGACTTAAGTACCAATTAAGTAATACAGTAGAAGGGGCTGGGGATTTAGCTCAGCGGCAAAGTGCCTGCCTGGCAAGCGCAAGGTCGTGAGTTCGGTTCCCGGTACCGGAGAAAAACCAAAAAAA